CTAATGATTTTCTCTGGAACACCATCACGTTCCATCACCCTCCAAGGCGCCGCTCTATCAAATCGAAGGCAGCCGCAAAATCGTTGAAACACGTGATAGTGGGTTGCAAATATCTGAAGCGATGTTCCAACACCCTTCTTAACGTGAATATCTGGTCAGCACAATCGTGCCTTGGTCTGAAACCAGTTTGATTAGGGCGCATCGTACTTCCAAAAGTCTGTTGAGTAGCAGGGAAGCAAAAATTTTTGCTGAGGCGTCTAATAGGCTGATCCCTCGATAATTGTTGCAATATGTCCTATCATCTTTCTTGAGAATTGAGAGCAGAATTGCTTTGCTCCGATCATCTGGTAATATTTATTTTTTCCATGCCAAAGAGTACATTTGTTGAAGATGCGTTATGAATGACGATGGACAGCATTTAAAAAGCTCAGTCCGAAGACCATCTTTTCCAAGAATCTTATTGGCCTTAAGCATACAGATAACGAATATTTCTTCTTCTGTTGGAAGCTCAAAATTGCAAACGTATGCTTAGGCAAACGTATCAGGTGCAACAGATGGTACTTCATGGTTAAGTTTGGCCTCAAAGAATTCTTTCCATCTTATGAGGCGATTAATACTTTTAATTAGTACGCCACTACTGTCTTTTACCATTACTCATTTCACTGATCGTTCCCCGAGTCATAGTTGCTTTATGAAGGAGGCAGAATAATTTCCTATTGTCGCCTAATCGAGCCGCCGCCTCTATTCTTGAGGCCATGTCAATCCAATAGTGATTTCTGTCCCGCCTTACTGCTTTCGTTGCAAATCTTCGAAGCACCCGGTAGTCAGGATCACCTAACATTTATGCTTTGGCAGCTTTTTCAGACAATTGGACGATACCCAACTAGCGCACTTCCTACTAGTATTCCCTAGCGTGGAAGTGGCTGATTTTTGGAGACATTCCTTTAGTTTGGACCAGTATTCATTTGCCGTTCCAGAAAAATCATTGACATTTATATCATTGAGATGCTTTAATAATTCGGTTTGAAATGCGCTCACTGTCCCCGGATTTTTTAGTTTGAGATAGTTGAAAGAGCTTGGGTGTTTTCGGCGAGTTGTCAATTTTATGCGGATCTTGGCTTGAACCATAACATGGTCAGATCCATGAAGATTGCCCGTTTCAGCTGTGCGATAGGAACGACTATCTAGTACGGAACTCTTCCAACGGCGACTGACTAAGATATAATCAATCTGGTTGAAGTGTTGGTTGTCCGGGGAGTTTCACGTCCATCTTCGCTCAAATACCACTTGTAAAAAATAAATTAATAAAATTATTGATTGGAAGCAGTGGAATACTCGCCTGCCATGCATTAATTATATTAGAATAATCTTGATCCGATTGCTTTCTTCAGGACAGCAAAATAAAAATTGTACGAATTGATAAAATTTTTACTCACTGCCTCAAACTTGGGTAATTAAACCAATTAATATATAGTTATATGAAAAATAGTATTCACACAAACTAAATCCGGAGACTAAAAGGATAACTATCGCAAAACAAATAAGGAATGATTAAACAATATAAAGCAATGTAAAATAATAAAGTAAATTTAATATTAAAATATTGGGACCCAACCACTCAGATCCTGGTACTATAAGAACAGTTTTCTTGAAAAGGTTATCCTTTACAAACTTATGAATTGATCCCTATTTTTTATTGACATAAAGATAAGGAATTAATGAATAAATGAAATGCTTTATTTGGCGAGTCGGGGTCACTATTTTGAAATAATAAATTTAAAATAATAGCAAGATCGCATTTCGCGACACCACCTATATTAATAATATTACCACAGAGCGCAGCCTTCGCTAGGTACGACTCGTTCTTCGTCGTCCACCGCAGAAGTTGACGCATGCTACTTTCTGAACCCTATGATGGTTGGCGTCAAAAGCGAGGAGGGCTAGTCAAGACCTGGTCTGATACAGGAAAGATTCAGGAAAGAATTTGAACGTATAGGAGGACCAGCGATATATGGAGTTAGACGATGGAAAAAGGAATGGCTTCTATTACTACTAGCGATGGCGTCGGATCGAGCAGCTTGGAGTTCTTTGTGGCCATCGGAGTCAGCCTAACAAGTAATGGTCAGAGCTATTACAAAAAGAAGAAGAAAAGAACTTTTAAATATATTTAAAAATTTTTTAGTTTTAACTTTCACTACAATATAATCGATGTCAAAATCTTATAGAAAATTAAGAAAAATTCAACGTTCCTTCACTCAATCATTAGGTTTAATATTTATACTTTATATTATTTTAACTTTGTCTATATAATTAATTTTTAATTAATATTTTTATTCCATTGAATAATTCAATATCGTTTTTTTTTAAAGTTTTCCATCTTTATCAGTCTCTTACAGTTATGTTCAGAAATATAAATTTAATGAAAACAGTTGTATGTTATATGATTCCAGTTAAAGATTCTTTCAAAGATTCTGCAATCAGAGATTCATCAAACTCACCTTCAAATAATATAATAATTGATAAATGTCATTTTTAGCAAGCAGAAAACGGCGATATTAAATCATATTGCAGGTATTTAACTATTTACGGTTGTTTAATAAACAACCAATATATTTAGCAGTTCTGGCAGTTACGATGAACCATGGAGCAATAATGAAGCATTTGCAAGTATAGCATTTAACGAGGATGAGAATAAACGATAATGATCTAGATTTTCGTATTGTTAGATTCGGCTTTGTTGACGGGAGCAAACCTGTTATTAAAAAATCTAAGTGTACTGGCGACCCACTTGTATGTCTATTGCCCAGTGATTCTCTGGCAAAAATCCTCGACTAACTGTAATAACAACCAGTCTAATCTAAATAATCTAAATAGAAGTTAACCTAAATAGAAAGGGCTTAGCCTTTCTATTAGTCATTTACTTTTTTTAATTAAGTGCTGAAACAAACATACAATGTGGATTAAAACCTCTCTCCTCGAAATTTTGAAAATTTTCTTCCGGATTTTAAATTCAATAAAATGTAAAAAAAGTACGTTGAATAAATTTATATAAGAATTAAATAAAAAATGTTTCAACATAATTCATTATTTAAAAAAAGACAAAAAATATGAGCCATTTTTTAGAAAACTTACTCGTTTTGATTTTTTTATTTCTTGCACTCACCAGGAATTTTAAGGAAATTGTTTTTTGGCTGAAATATCTATAAGTCACGCCATGGGGAACTCTCAAGATCTATAACTAAAAATGCCCTATAAGTTAAAAATAGAACAGTTGCACCTATTTTTCTATTCAGCGGGTTATATTTATTTTTCACAAATCCCCACAAAAAAATGCTGACTAAAAATAAAAGCAGAAAAATAGAAGCAGTAATAGACAAATAACTAAAAAATGGCACATACATGACCCGAAGATCTAAATAAGAGACGACGAAATAAACAATTCAAAAAACAAACTAAATATTCTAAATATCAAACTTTAATTGACGTGCGCGAATCACTGAGTACTGAGCTTCAGATCTCAAATAGCAAATACAAACATCTTTTTCAGCATCTTCACATCGTGGAACGAAACGAGAGATCATTTCATACAAGTTAATCTGATCAATAAAAAAAATTATTTAAAATTTTAAAAAAACATTTTAATTCAATTCAGATAAGAAAAATAAATACCATTCATAATATTTTTGATTTTTTCACTTAAATAAACCTGTAGATTTTGAGAAAAATTGATAAATGTTATTTCTTATAATTTATTCAAAGAAACTATTTAGTTTTTTTCAAATTTTAAAATTTAATCGGAAGCATTGAGTAATGCTGAAAAACTGGAAAAAATGCTATGGTTTCGACGTTTTTTCCAAAGATAAATTATAAAAAATAACATCGTGAAAAAACAAATTATTGTCACTTCAAAGCAACAAATATTATAATTTTTTTATTTCATGATATCGATAGATTTTGAAGCAATTCTTTGTCTTCCTTTCGTTTTAAAGAAACACAAATTCCGATATAGCCTCGTCGCATCGACCCATTTTCTTGAATGCATTTATTGAAGAGGACAATAATTGTGCTTATGGATTTGGTTGCTTATTAGGTGAACATCACAAATTCATCTACTCTAGCTTAGCTAGCTTAATTATTGCGAAAATTCTAAAAACCAAATTATACAGGTAATATAGAGAGAAAATTACTGGCATAAATGAAGTCCACAAATATAAAATCCACAATCTTTAATTTTCATCTTTAATTTCATTTTATCTTTTAATGAACTATTAAATATTAAATATTAATAAAAGAGAATAAATTAGATAAACAGGTAGGGATGGAGGAAGGGAGAAAAATAAATTTACAAGGTAACTTGCGAAAACAAAAAGGCCAGTTTTTTTCAAAAATAACTATACATTTATATGAAATATGTAAAATAGGCTCGAAAAGATAATAATAATATACACTGTATTTGTTACCCGCACATTAACGAAAAATATATTGATTGTAATTAAGAGGTTTGTAAAAATATATAAAATGAGAAAAGTTCGAATTGCATAACCTTCGTGACCTTTCTAAGAATTTTTCATTGAAAATTAAAAAATAGTTAAATTTAAATTTAACTATACCAATTTAGCTATCCCAATTTAACTATTTAAATTTAATTTAGATAATAATAATGACATTTCCGACTATTTACCTGCCATATTCATGGCTAAATTTTTCTGTTTTTCTTATCTGATCAATTTTTTAGGGAATATTGCTGATATGTTCTCCATGCCCGATTACTTTTAAACTAAAAAATTATTATAAAATTATTAATTTTTAATTGAACATAAAATACTTTACAATTCCTTATTAACAAAATTTGTAATAAACCGCAAAAAAGCGAATTCGAAGAAAAAAAGTTAAATAATTCAAAAAAATACCCGATGTACTGGGAAAAATATCGGAAAAGATCCGCTAAAAAATATGGAATCAAAAATAGAGGGGAAAAATTCTAGCCCGTATAATTTTCAATAATTAATAATAGTAATCAAGAGGAACTGTATTATGTAATTTAGTTACTTACCAGTGTTACCAACCTTATCAAATTTTATTAATATTATATGCTGGATTTTCTATAATTTTTCTATAACTTTAACTTGCGATATTGTAAATTATCTGAAATTATGAAATTAGAGTTTAAAATTAGAGTTGGTCTGTTTAGTTTGTTACAATAAGAAAGCCTTTTAAAAACAACAAAAATAACAATAGAAGAAATAATAATTGTCAGATAAATTACGAATAACTAAGAGGCTTCATCGACCACCAATTTTGGACTTGATTCTTCTTCTTGCTTGATAAACATTTTTAACAAACCTTGTGAATCGACAGTGCTTGCTTCTTGTGCAGTTACTGTAGCTGTTATGGTTCTTTTCTCATCATTTTTTATGATTTCTTCCTCTTCCTCTTCATGTTCTCTTTTTTCCTCCTTGATTTCTTCCAAATGTTGTTCATCATCATCGAACTGCTGATGCTGTTCAGATACTGGTGATGAAGTTGCTGCACGCAAATCGACATTTGTTAACGATGAAGCAACAGCACTTGCAAGAATATTTAAAGAATTATCTGCAGCTTTTGGTGTTGTTGGTGTACTTCGAGTAATTGTACCACGTTGCTGCCGTCGACGATAAAATTCTGTATCATCCACTGTCCACACTGCACCTTTCACATTTTGTTCAACTCTTGTAAAGCATTTGTGTAACGATAAATTGTGACGTACTGCATTCTAAAATTTTTAAGATTTTTTATTATGAAAGGACACAGTGGATAAGAGTAGAAATAAGTTCCTGAATTCAAATAAATAAGATCAGGCAAGTTCAATTACAAGTTCAATTTTTTTGATAGAACTAAGCTTTTGATAGAACTAGTAATTAAAGTAAAATCCGAGTACCGTCAGGGACTCATTTGCATCCCTATCCACAACAATGACAAGATCTCATCCTAATAGTCAGTGAAAATTTACAAATGGACTTTTAATAATCTGATTTTCTATGAACCAATGGATCAGATAATCGGAATAAAAACTGAAAATCCTACCCTAGCCTCCCTAGGGTTATACCCTAGGTTTTATGAATTTTGAGTTGAAATTCCGATAATTCATTAATCAACGAAAAATTCAGCCAATTTCAGAGAAAAAGGGCAAATGGATTTGTAATTCCAAGCATATGCCTAATCCTCTATATGCAATTCAAGTTCAGATGAGCTGCTCTTTCATAACAGAATTGTGGCTTTTGTTTGAACTAGCTTCCTCAGCAGCAAGATTTAAGACTTATTTCCGACAAGGGCAATCTTCATCCTGGTGATACTGGTGACTCACTTACAATTCTATGACTTTCGGCAAAAATCTCTTTTATACTACTTAGTAAAGCGAGACTAACCAGAAATAATAAACGCTAAATACTTACCTTACCTATTTATCTTCCATACTAACTGGAGCTACACATGAACAGTTTTTTTGAAATTTCGTAAATATGTAATGATTACTACCTTCCATGTAGCGGCATTTCGTCGAAAAAACGCAAATGTATCGGTAAACCATTGGTAAATTTCATTTAATGTTAGTTGACAATCTTTCGATTCCATAATTGCTTCACGAATTAATGACGCATATGTATATGGAGGACGTACATCATTATTTCGATAGAATTCACGATTCCTAGTTATATCAGAAGATATTGGAATGATTGATTTATCACAAATGCGTCGACGTGATGATGATGTTGCTGATTGTTGCTGCTGTTGTTGAGGTTGCTGCGTTTGTTGAGGCTGAGATTGCTGCTGTTGATGGTGATGATGATGATGATGATGAGATGATGATGATGATGATAAACGATTATCATCGGTTAGATTCATTGATGTCGATAATGAAGCAGGTGATGGTCGCTGAAAAAATGCACACTAATTACTAATCAGATTAAATAAGAAATTTTGGATCAACCTGTAAGATATATATAAAAAGTGAATCCAATATCCAACGAAATCATTTTTAGTAGCTTGTCGTTTTCTAAGAGTACGATAAAGGTGATAGAGTACATGAAAGAGTGAATGTGAATATAAAGAAAGATGATTTTTAAAAAATGCACAGGAGAATTCAACAGTTACATTCGCTGGTTAGTGATAAGATTTGCAATTCTTCAACTTGCAATTCTTTTTGCCTCCAAATGGCTTTTATGCTAATAGCCAATGGAGCCAGCAAAACCAGAAATGTTGAATACTGAATGGTGAGCATTAGAAGAAGAGTATAGGCTCTAATACCTTGGATGGATAAATAATTGATGTCGTAAACTTCCAGCTTTTTTTACAGTTAACGATAGTTTTAATTATCTTTTCTCTTGCTATTTTTCTCTTTCACTGTTCTCTGCTAAATATCCATAACCTTTCCCAAATTTGAAAAAATATTCCAGTTATTCGTGCAACTTTCTTCTCTCTCATCTTTATTCTTTCCCAAAAATTATTTTACCGTATTCATGAGATCAACATATAGTTATCTGTCGAAAATAATGACAATCATATGACAAAACAAACTATAAAATATTAGTTAACAGCAAGAAATCATTGAGCAAATAAATAAATCAATCATCAAATATTTTGAATTAAGAAACAATAACGATAATTAATAATAAAAAAATAATTAAAATTTTGTGACAGTGATAATAATAACATTAAGTAATAATGATAATATTATAGTTAATGAATAAATATTAATAGTATGAAAGGTTTCCTCAGGCATCGAAGTTTGGACTATGTCTCTGGTAGCAGTAAAACTGTACTAACACTAACCATACTGATGATGCTGATGACCCACAACACACATGTATTTCTATCGCTAAATGATTCCTTAGCAACAATTTCTAATTTTCAACAATGTGTAGAGGGAATCTAACCAGAAATGATGAGCGCTAATCATTCTGACTATCACACCATGTAACTAAACTACTTCATAATTTTCGTAAAACACTGGTAAAGTTTGTTGACTTGTAAGCAAAAAATTATTTATCATTGGTCAAAAAAATTGGTTATTGGTTAGATATAATAAAACTCAGTTATAACAAAATTTTTAAAAAGCACTATCTCTTTTCATGGATCATACAAATAGGATAAGGAAAAAACAAAAATTAAAAAGAAATATGAAAATAAATTCTTAATTGTCGGATTTTTATTTAACATCCGAATTTATTTTTTCATTGAAATTATCCAAAAATTAACTAAAAAATAAATGTATTATTATGCAAAAATTAATTTTTTCATATATTTGGCTCCATGCGATTTTTTTTGTAATTAGTGGAAAAATAATTAAACCTGCTCGACAAATGGATCATTCCTATTATCATTGCTGATAATAACAGGTGATGCAATTGAATTAGTCGATGATATCGTACCAGTTGTACTACTAATCGTTTGGTTATTTATTGTATCCGGTGAACGTTTCGTTGTTAAGTGTTCCCACATAGCATGATATCTGACACGTTCACGCTTTATACGCTCTTCTAGATCTTGTAGCAAGGTTCCTTGTGCACCTAACTGTTCCAAACCACGAGTATCAGGTATATGAGTCGTTGACAAATGATGTATAAATGTGGCTATACTTTCGCATGGCTGATCACACTGTGGCCATTTACATAATTGTTGCTGAAACAAAGTATAATTTGTTACTACTATTGTTAACATTATTTTCACATTTTCATTACTATTATAATTTTTAGCATTATTATTATCATCATTGTTATTATTATTATCACTGCTATTTTAATGTCTTTATAATGCTACTATAATTATAATTGCCCAAACATTTTTTCTTGCTATTAGTGATTGCCTTTTTTTATCATTTAATTTCTATTTCAAAGAAAGAACTAATAAATAAGTGTTAAAGAGGCATGTGATGATAAAGAATTTCTAACGTGATAGACTAATAAGAAAAAAAAATTTTCTTGATTCTCAGTGAACAAGAAAAATAGGAGTGATGTAAAGCATCTTATGTGATATCCTTGTATTACTTGTGTATTATCTTAGAATAAATACATATAATTTGTACAAATACATCCATCTTTAAACCGCTTATTCTAATCTTAAACAATAATCTTCAACTTTTCATCGACATTTGTTTCAATTTTATTCATTTTTTATTTTTTCTCTTATTACTTTGTTACTAACAATCAATTCTGTTTAGATCTATTCAAAAACTGAAAACTACCCCACGAAACAATTGAAATATTACACAACACATAATTGTAAATATCTAATGCATCAAGCAAATTGCCACTGCACTTTCACCTTTAACACAAACCGTTGGTTTCCTTTCCTCCCATCCTTTATCCTTACCAGTTTATTATTTACCACACAATCTCTTCTAAATTATTAAAAAAAATAGTATTTTAATGATAAATAATATCTCTGTGAAAAATTTAAATAAATTCGCATATTACTTAATCGTTACTTAAATTATATGAAATTCTTGAAAAAAATTTCAGTGACAAAGCAAAAGAATTATGGGTCTATTCGATAAATGGAAAACCGCAGTTTTCGACGTTGCTGAAGGTAAGACAGTTCAGTTCTTATCCTTGGATAAGAACAAATTTGTCTCTGAGAACGAAGTCCGAATGAAGCCTACGACCGATCTAGCTCTTTTGCCAGTTCATTACCTAACGAAAGAATCGCATCAAGTTGTGCCAACCAAACTATAAGTGGTAGTTCACTGGCGATTTTTTGATGTGCTTCATATTTTGAATATTTCGAAAAATTTTTTAAATTTATGGAAGCGATTTCTGAAAAACAGGTTGAACGTTGTGAAATGATAAATAATGACAAATCAATATATGAATATTTTAAAGTGTTCGAAAGCGATAAAGTTCATCAACCTCGTCGTCATCGTCGCCATCGTCAACGATTTTGTGTACAAATAAACAACTAGTACCATATAAAAAACAAATTAGATTCCCTTCAAAAAAACACTGATTGCGATGAGAAAAAAGTGAAAAACGACTTGTTAAAGTATTCATTATTTCCTGTGAAAAACCATTCACTGATTAATGAAATTCTAAGAGTTAGGAAGGAATACACAAGTAAATATAGACCTCTAGCAGCATCTCATTTTTCATTTTTAATGACGAGAATCCAAGGGAAGAGATCCGTGATCACTGAATCTCAACTGAACTATTCGACCACTCTACTCTACACTCTCTCAAAAAACAGTCGAAAAAAGCAAATACTGTTCAGTGGCCGCAGCTGAAGATGATAAGTATTAAGTAATTAAGTAAGTGAAAAAAAAGTAAATGAGAAAATGATTAAATAACTATAAAATGCCGCGGAATCTGCAAAAATTTCTTAGCTGATGCTTTCTTATCAAAAAAAGAAATGGAAATAAATTTACATTTCCATTAAAAAATAAAAATTTATTTATTTCCGTTTAAGGAATTTTGTCATATTTTAAAGCCAATTTTTCATTTTTGTAATATTCTAAATAATTTAAATAATTTTTATATAATTAAATATTTTAAATAATTAAAATAATAAAATGATTTCTTTGATAATCAATATCGAAATATCTCATTATTATTATTTTTATTTTGAATCACCATCAACGTTATCATTGACGTCAATCGAACAAAAACCATAAATATTTTGATTTTCGTCGAGAGAAAGAATAATAATAATAACAAATAATAAAAATCCTATCATAAGCTGTTTGTTTATTCAAAACCAAAATTCAATGTGACACCGATTGTATATTATTGATAAGGATTGTGATGGCGATGATATGGATTGTGTGTGAATATGGTGAAGGCCTTGGTGGGAAAGATGGTTGTGGTGACTGTGTTAGTAATAATAATGCTGATAGCAGCATTGCTGTTACCTTTAAACAATAAACACTTTAAAAATTTTATAGATAAATTTATAACAACCATTTTATAGATAACAGATAAAGTAAATTAAAAGGATTTATTATGAAATTAGAATTTTCATGCAAGCATATTGCTTCTTTCGTCAAAGACGGGCGATGAGCAACGAATACATAATTCTTCCTGGCACATCCTTCTTTGATGTTTATGTTAATGAACACATTTGATTATCGAGCATAAGACAATAAACAAATCCTTCTAACAGCAAGCATAATTTTTGGTTTAGCTTAACCAAATGACTATTAGCAAGGTACCAGCAACAGAGTGGACTACTAGTAACAACCAACTAGGACGAGAACCTTTTGCCGCAGAGTCACTTCAGAATGGATAAAATGTTGTTTCCCAGGACGCTTTCGCTCGAAATAAATCCAAGTTTTTACTATACGGAAGGAACCTTAAATCAAATATAAACAATAACTACTTCGCAAATAAGCATTTCAACAATAAGTGTATATGAAAAACATCGAATGAACGTTCCTCATCGCTTTGTTTCCATTTAAAATTTGAATTCAACGAGGGAAATTCGAATAAAACTCTTAAAATTTTTGCTGAAAAAAATCCCCAAAAACGAATTTTAAATCAGAAACCGAATTTCGCTGCTAACAGATAAGTACGTAGGAAAATATACAAAAATATTTTCCGTACTTCGTGTCCCATCAGTATTTACTGCTCACCTCATCGAATATCGCTATTTATTCTTTATTTATTTATTATTTTGATGTTTGATGTATAAAATATAAATAAGAAAATGTAAATCGATAAAGCCGATTGAATTTAGCGAATATTTTCGAAATAAATGCAAAATCTTTGTAAATAATATTTATTTTTCATGAAGATGAGAAAATGATAAATGATTAGTTTGCATGGAAACTGCGTCCAATCCAAGAGAAGGATGATGCCCGAATAGTTTTGCACAGTGTAAGTGACATGGACCGCGATTACTCGACAACAGATTAAAAGCCATCATTAAAAATGGTTTCGTTGCTATGGATTTAAGTCTGTACTCTTAATCTTTAAGTGATACTGAAAAAATCCTAACGGCTCATCCTAAGTAATTAATAGTGGAGTGATAAGGAGAATCGTTACTGAGATTTTCTCCTCGCAGGAATAGGCCTGTCGAAAAGTCCGGGTGATGATGACGAGTTACCTGCACTTACTTCCTGGTATATTTGTCTCGTGCGACAAGCAATGGAGTGAATCCAACCAGTAATGGTGAGAGATCTCAAATAAAAAAATAGTGGGAGACAAAATAAAATAAAAATTATAAGTGTGAGCAAAAACAAAAATGAAAGTGCGAAATGTTGCATGCTAATTTAAAAAAACTAGGATAAAAATAGTTAAAACTGAAATTCTTAAAAGTTCAACAAATTATATACTTTTTTAATAAACGATATTCTGTAAGAGCACTCGTTTTAGAACCACTGGGTATTTCAACTAAACAGCTAGAACCGCATGTGGCTAGTACGCACCATCTCTGGTTCAGCTAATTCTATTGACCGTCAATATGGTTAGAAATTTCTGCCAGAGAGACACTTGGCGAAAGAGCTGGGTTGCAATCGCCAGCACCACAAAGGTTTTTCACTTATTTCTTCCAGTCGAGCAACTTCATTTCGATATTATTAAATATAACATTTCTATAATTCCCATAGAAGACAGAAGCGGAAGCTTTGTTTCTCAACACGATAATATGAGCCACCATCCATTCTGTTGTCCTGCCCCTCAGACTTTTTATATACTCTTGTGTTTTGCTTATACTAATAGCATGCACCATTTCTCAACCAGCTGAATTCCCTAGTTGTTGTAATAGAATGATACTCCTTCACCAGAGGATCAGTTGGGGATACCACAGCATTAACTGGAATTCACTTTTACTTCTATCAAGGAGCGATATAAATCAACTTATCTATGCCTGAACTTACTCGAATGCCTGAACTTACTCGAATCACTCGTATAAGTGGCAAAACATTATAACAGAAACATGCAGGTTCACTTCAACAAAATCACTCTGGCAGTCCACCTAATGGGATAGGATGGCCGAGTGGGCAGTCAAAGCGCCAACCTTTCATTCGCCAACTTATAGCCAGCCAGGTTAGTCAAGCAAATTTCAAATGGAATTTTGCAGACTCTTAGCATGATTATTATTTATGCATTCTCATAATAAAATCAATAATAAAATTCCGCAGAAGTATTTTTTTCCACAAAAATAAATAAGTTGAAAGCGTTGTTTACATTTTCCATTGCAATCAATCTTTCTTTATTACCAATGAATTATTATTTATTTTGATAAAAAGAAAGTTTACCCGCATTGATTATTATTATTAATAAAAATAATAAATTTATTTAAATTTCTTAGAATTTCTTAAAAATAAAATTTACAAAATAAATCTGTCGAAAAATAATATTTACGAACGAAAGAATAAATATTAAACAATTTAAAATATTTTTTTGGGCAATTAAAAATATTTTGCCCGTTCCGACTTTAAAAAAAGAATAAAATATTCACGAATGGTGTAAACTCTAAACATAAGTTTAACGAAAAATTCCGTTTTTTCTTTTTTGCACGCGCACCATTTCTGGTCTGGCTGAATGTGCTGAAACTAAGGTAAAAGGGCACCTTTGACAGAGAATCACTTGGGAATAGAGATACGAGTAGGTCCCAACCTTTTAACGATAATGGTGCTCTATGGTGGCTCTATGAGCTTTAGACGAATATCCTTTCAACTCGTCATTAATCGCCTTCTTTCATTCAAATCATTCATTTCCATTTCAACTTTACTTTTCCGAAACTTTCTTTTTTTTCTCTTGTTTATGCCATCGTTAATGAACGAAGAAATATTTTTAAATGATAACAGCTCTATAATGAAATGAAAAAAAGTAAACTTGTTTATTTTTTTAACATTTCAAATTTCTTTTCTTTACAATCTTCAGTTTTTTCTCGTTAAATCAGTTCTTTTCTATATTTTCCTCCTCAAAATTCCTTTATTCTACTCTTCCTTTTTCATCCACTATTTTATTTATCTGAGGACTGCAGTCGAGTTGCATGCGTAATGCCTAGATTTAAAAAACGGAGCAGTCTGCTTCACTGCATTCCTTTGGCGAAAATAAACATGGCATTAAAAAATCCGAGTGGTGCTGCTGGAAGCCATCCACCCGCTTCTACCCGCAAGTGATTAACTTTCTAACACTATTAGCAAACAATTTAGCGAGCTTAACTAGAAATGATAACCATTATATTTCATTTATTTCGACATTTATCTATTTTTATTAAATATTTATTAGGTTCTTATGGATACAGTTGGGGAAAATTGTTTAATTTAGGACCACTAAGCGATTATCATTATTGTGTAAGCCAAAGGTAGGATGGCTCAGAGGGTTCTTGCTCAATTTGAAGCAGCTGAAGCTGCGGTTCG